ATTTTTTGATTGCCTTTAGTGAAACTTTAGACTACCGACTATCCATATAGCATTTTATATTCTATGAGAGACCATGAAAAAATAATTGCTTGTATCAGTTAATATATAAATTATCATCAAGGAATTTACTTGTTTTAAATAGATCCTTTCATTTGGATATTAAATCCATTTATTCAAAACTCCTGTAAAATATTTAACATAATAAAACCAAAAACTTCCTTTATATTCACAATACAAGTAAAAAAAATATCAGAACAAAATAATACATGTCAGAATTACGTGTAATTGGTGTTTTGATATCAAATATAGTATAAGACCATCTGAAGACCAAAAATGAGCTTAAACTTAGCAACTTAGAAGGATGAATTTTATGTGGGCACTGGAGATACAGTCTTTACCATTAAACATTTCTATTTTGGACAATTAACTTAGACATATTATAACTGTATAATTAAATTTTGGCCATCTTTTTGAATTATTTTGTTTCCTATAAGAGTTGGCGCCACTTATTTTGAGTATTTATAATATCCTGGTTATCTAATGTACTGTGTACTTTTAATGCCAAATGAAATCCCAGTTCAACTAATTACAACAGAAGTGGTGTTCAACCTGTAGATTAAAATGGTCACTCAAAAGGTGTATGTAATTTATCATGGTGCAATATAGAAGAAATTTAAAAACATGATTGTAACATAACCATTTGGAGTTTTAAAAAACAGTACAATATTTATCCATAATTTAGCAATTCAATGATATGTAGATTGTGTTATGTTAAGGTCTCACTTTTGTACAAAATCGCAAAATAAGGAGTGGATCCTTATGTTTTGGGATCAAATCCCACTTTTGGGATGTTGACTGTTTGAGGAGAACTAATAAACCAAAGCCTTGTTTTGCAAGTAGGAAAAAAATCTCTCACTATACATTTATATAGTTAAATATTCGAAATTTTATGTTTAGCATCTGTAGCCCTTTTGCAGGTAAGATATGTATGACTAAATATTCTTTTAAAAATATTCCAATCTTAATTATTCTAGATGGATGGATAGTATGTATCACAAGGATACCTTTATCATGTATATTTAGAAATATTTTGTGAATACAGGCAAAACTGGAGACTACAGAAGCAAGCTTTTAGTAGAAAAATGTTAAATTTCAGGACATTTTATCTTTGATTACAGTGATATGTATATTTAAGAACATTGAATTTGTTCCAGAAAAAATATTGTTGTATCGCAGTTATTGTAACAATAATGTATATGTTTTTTTTTCTGGAAGTTATTATATCAGGTAACGGACTATATACAGGACACCAATTATTCAACCTTTTTGACATCATAGACAGTTGTTTTTCAATAAAAATGGACTCGTAATTTACTTACCTTGTCATTGGTTATTTGCAAAATTATTTTGTTAAAAAGCATTCTGATTGTATACACAAGTACTCTGAAGTTCTAAAAAGATGCTTGAGTTTCTGATTAACAATATCTATGTAGTCTTTGGAGATCAGGTCTTCCAACAATCTGTTGGAATTCCCATGGGTAACCATTGTCGATCAAAATTGAAAAATCGATTCCTTTCAGTCACCGAAGTTACCATCAACAGAGTCTTCATAAATCATTAACAGACATAACTTAACCAAAAAGATACACAAGAGATGTTTAAAAGCTCAAAACAGTGATGATCTTAGTAAGAATCACCATGATAAAATTGGATTACTTTATTGTTTAACACCACAAAAACTACTTCAATGGAAAAATCTGCTTTTCTTAAGACCATTTGTCTGTACGTCATTGGGCAAATCCTACCTCCTTTACGAATATGCTATTCTCAGTGCCTCGACCCAAAAACCGTAATCGTTAGCAATTACGAACATTCATATATGCCTGGTTTCAACCTTTTGACCAATGTGGACATCGGAAGGTGCATGCGAGTTTGTTATAAGTTTAGTTTGTGTCAATCGGTGGACTGGACACGAGAAAAAAAGACATGCTGGCTAAACACAAGATATTCGAACAAGAATGTCAGTAACTTGAGAACTGAAAACCGCCTCATTCATATTGACCGGGAGAATTTTCCAGAGGTAAGAATGAATGAAGGACGTTAGCGGAGAAATTTTTAATATTTTAATATGAATTTAGTTACATATATAATTCTCTTTATTTACCCCTTACAATATATTAAAAGCATGTCGAGAAACTTCAGGAGTATTGTACAGCATACTTGAGTGGTGTTAATCAAATGAATATACTTAAAACTCCAATAAACTTGATATAAATTTGAACTCACAAAATTTCTTAAAAAATACAATAGTTAACCATAGTAAATCGACATTTCAAGGTTCTTACTTAAGTCAATCAAAGTTTCAAAGTTTTCACCAAAGTAAATCAAAGTATCAAAGTTTTCAATATAATTAATCAAAGTATCAAATTTTTCACTATAGTTAATCAATGTATCAAAGTTTTCACTATAGTAATTCAAAATATAGAAATTTTCACTATAGTAAATCAAAGTATCAAAATTATCAGTATAGCAATAGACGTTTAGATGTGGCTGCAGCAACCCTCTTGTGTACCTTCATATCTTCATTCATGTCCATCTGTGCACACTTTTAAAGATATCTTAAATCCCATCTTTTTGGAAAGCAGTTGGTTAATTTTTTTATCTTGGCAGAGTTACTATAGTTTCTTTTTTTTTTTTTTATTTTAGATAGTTATTTATGTAAGATCATATCAATAACTCTTAAATTGATTATTTTATTATAATAATTTTTTGCTCGTACCATATTAAATTAATTTATTATGTTAAAACATTAGATTCATCAATTATTTCATAATTTAAATATTTATAATTGTTATAAAATATTAAATTTAATCTCATGCAATTCAATACTATTTTTATTCCTTATAATGTTTTTATATATTTATAAACGTATTTATATTTTTGTACAGAACTTTGATTGTTTCTTATTAAAATAGGTGCATTATGTTTAAATAATATTAATAATAATAATAATAATAGTAAATCAAAGTTTCAAAGTTTTCACTTTAATTTTTTAAACCAAAGTATTAAAGTTTTTACTTAAATATGAGTATTATATTTTTTGCTGAAAGTAATTTAGTTCAAAAGAAAGCAGCATCTTTTTATTGTCCTACCGGTAAAACCAAGGGGACTGCATCTGTCCGTCTGTCAAACACTAATGTTTTAAATTTAAGATAATCGTGATGACTTCTACTTTCTTTCGTCAACTTCCCTTTTTTATGTAGCAATATACAATTATGGTTTGCATATGGAGTTAAGGTCTCCCAAATAATTTGATAGCAAGAGTATGTTCTACGTACATAATTTCAAAAACATGGCCCTCTATTGATAAATAAGTTATGATTCAAGGATATTAACAACGTATTTTCAATGTAACATTGTAACATTTTGGAAATTATATGCTCGATACACTGATCTTGTTTGCAAATACAATCTATCGTTAAGTCGAATGTTGACTGACTTTTTCATATAAACTGTCAGGCCATTTTTTACAGTGTTAATCCACGGATTTTTCCGTCTACCCGATCAGGAAACAACCTGCAGGCATAAACACTGGACAAAGGATACTCACTCTTCCATGACACCTGATCCTAACTGTGTTTTAAGGGGTCTGTGATAGTTTTGCTAATATTTGTTTCCATTAATTTCATCCTTGAAATTATTTCCTTTCAGCACATGACCGGAACTTGTCTAAACCATACCTGTTCTGAAGATTCTTTCTGTGCTCGTGATGGTAACTGTGTAACTGTTTTAAAAGGTAACATACCATTCAATTTTTCTGCAGGTAGAGACTCAAAGGTGTATTAAGCCTTATTTTCCATATTTGTTGAAATTAAAAATTTTAAAATTTTGACTTTTTACCACTTCGATCGTTATTATATAGCATTATTCTATAACGTTTTTGTGATTACGTTCATCCAGGTTCTTTCTTATTGGTTACTTTAAAAGATAAGCCGAACCCATTAATTTATTAAAAAAATGTCGATTTCTATAACATTTTATATTGTAAGACAGCAATGATAACTGAACATCGACATCACACACAAGAGTACTGACTGCAAGATTATTAAAAAATGCTGAGGTGTCCATCTTACGCATTTCATGACATGATCTAGTACCTAACTGTAATCTTTGCTATTCTTCGCAAGAACTGAGCTTGGCTTAAGATTTTTTAAGACAAATTCGGTAAGAAACGGCTAGACATAATACAATATTTTAGTGTTTTCAATCAAGGCCATGCTTAGTTCATCGGCAGTCTAAATAAGGAATATGCATTTATTGACTTGTTTCGAAGAATCGAAGACCAAGAACCATATGAAACTGTTTGCCAGAGGCCGTTAGGTGCATGCAAGCATTTGGTTCGAGGGGTCAGCAAAACGCATTTAAGTTACCCGAGAACACAATTTATGTTTTTATACCTAAAACTTCTTTTGACATAACTTACGTTGTCTTCCATGGTTGCGATAATTGATGAGACAAAGCTGATTCCTCTTCTTTGTGAAAAAAAAAGTCATTGACTGTCAGTTATAATTGGGGGAAACAGACGCAGTAAAACGAGGAAATCTTTTGACAAACAAGTTGATGAAATACGGATATCAACAGTTTCATTTGAAGTAAAATTTTGCAAGTTTTTTGGATGATACAATGAACTTATCAGCAAATACAACCTATCATTTACTCAAATGCTGACTATCGTTTTTCTTACAAATTGTTATTCCATTATTTATACACTGAATTGTGGTTTTCCGATCATGACAAAGAGCACACGGCGGGTATGGCCGGTCGACAGGGGATGCTGACTCCTCCATGGCACCTGATTCCACCTCTGATGTTTTAGAGGTCCGTGTTTGCTCTGCTCCTGATTCGTATCGTTTGAATGGACTTTTGAAATTGAATACTGTTCGTTATCTCCATATATTTCACATAAAATAGAACAAAGATACAAGGATTGTGAGGAGATCATGAAAAAAGACCCCAGCAAGAAAGGACAAGATGGAGTGTATGTTATTTACCTTGACTCCTGGAAAGAAGTTTTCTGTGACATGACGATAGATGGAGGAGGGTGGACGGTAAGGTGCTTTTTGAGTCAATACTAAATATTTGATTGAATGGCTTTGAATAAGGAAGTAATTTTATTGCAGAATTGGCAAATTAAATGATTAAAACTAGACAAGTTTGTTTAAAAAGGCCAGAATCCCAATGACGACGGAGGGCTTACGGTAAGTGTTGCAGGTCGATTGGGGATTCCTCCTCCTCCATAGCACCTCTGTTTTCAGAGTTTAGTGTTTACTCTGATCTTAATTCATATTGTTGAATTAGACTTTTAGAATGATAAGCGTTCCTTTCCTACATGACAATAAATAAAAACTGCATTTTTAAATTTTTTCAGAAAGATAATAGCGAATCGTCCCACAAACTTTGGGGGATTTTGGGCGAATGCCTTCCACTCACACACATTGTCAATAAAATATATTCAAAAAGAAACAAGTAACTGATGTTTATCCCCATCTCCCCTAAGTCAATTAAAATAGATACATATTATGTATATAAATAGATATGTCTGTAATTTTAAAAAGAGATTGATATATTACAAATATAAATCTGTAGATATTTACCCTAGGAAAGAATATTTTTTAATCTGTTTTTCCCCCATATCTGACAAGAAGCTGTTATTAAATCACCAAATTTTAATGCACAGGTAATTCAGAAACGAGAAGATGGGAACCTCAGTTTTTACAGAACATGGCATGAGTACAAACAGGGATTTGGTAATGCCTCTAAAAACTTCTGGATAGGTATGCCTGTATATTTCTTTTTTCTGTAACATATTTTGTTTTAATGCTTATTTTTCCATTATCACTGAAATCTACATCATATAGAATTATAAAGCATGCATATACCATCAAATCACTACATAATGTAAATCGTATGCTTTCGATATTGCTTTTCATAACAACATTTCGATCTGTCTTTTTTTTTTTAAAATTATGACAAAACTATAATTAATTGCAAGAAACACACTGTTAAGGATATAGGATGAAAGCACACCTTCAGCTGTTAGGACTGTTAGAGAAGCTCCCAGATTTTTTTTGATACTTTTTTTGTATTATCTTTAAACTTTTCCTTATTGTAGTTACTTTCAATTTTTTTTTATTATTGTTTTTATTATCTGTTCTTAAGAATTATTTTTTTATTCTTCAAGACATGGGATCAAAATCAACGACTCTAATCAATAACTCATTCATCAATTCTCAACTTTCAATTTTTTTTTATTATTGTTTTTATTATCTGTTCTTAAGAATTATTTTTTTATTCTTCAAGACATGGGATCAAAATCAACGACTCTAATCAATAACTCATTCATCAATTCTCAATTTTTTTTTTACAATTATCGAAAAAGGGAATGGCGCAATCCATGCTTTAACCAAAGATCAGGACCAAGAACTGCGAGTAGATCTCCAGAGATTTAATGGAGAGACAGCGTATGCTAAATATTCAACGTTTTACATCGGAAATGAGACAGAGAAATACACACTCACAGTATCCGGGTACAAGGGAACTGCAGGTATTTTATTTCATTGTAATAACGTGTTTTGTAGCTCTATTGCAATCAGCATCAGTTTATCAGATTTTTAGGTTAACATTCGGCAGCACAATATTATATATGGACATAAATGGCGAGGAGAACTGGAATCTTCAAAAATTGTAATGCTACAATGAATATTAAATTATTAGAAAAGTACGTATCCTCTCAATCAAAATCAATAACTCAGTAGTGCGCCTTGGATCAATCTACTGATCGCGTAGATAATTACAGCATACTATTCATGCTTTTGTTGAGGTTACTTCTAGTAATTTAAATGATAAAAGTAAATTTTTGTCGTTGAACGTAGGGTTTAATATTACAATTGTAGTTTAGAAGAAGCAGGATTTTATTTTACTTCTAGAATTCCACTGTGCACTCCAAGATCCCTTACAAATGATTGAATTCTTCAAATTGACCTTTCAGTCTTTTATACTTTAACCATTCCAGTCAACAAAAGTGCATTCAATTTACCCTATCTTTACTCTAACTATCAAAAATTCGTAAAAATCCTTCCAACAAAATTACGTTGCATCTTCCAGTAACTTCTTTACTAGACCCCTTTACTTCTCACAAAAATATTAAATGTTGTACAGTGATATAAAAACTTCAATGAGTGATGTAAATCATACGTGGATTCAGAAAAACTTTTTGAAAAACCTTTTGATATCATAGACAACTGTTTCCTAACTTAAAATGGAACTCTTAAATTTACCAGTCTATGTACGCGTGCGAGGAATATCTGCGAGATCCTTGAACAACTAAAGCTCACGGATATTTATAGTCACAAACCATTTATTCTCTATGAATAAATTAAATATAAATATAATTTTTATGTTTTCATAATAACCATCTTTAAAACTCTGACAGTCAATGCTATTATATGTGCCGCATATTTTGCGTACGGCAAAAATGTTTGAAGCTGTATTATTCTCTAGGAGCACCCAATATGATCAGAGAAGTTTTGCTCGTAATGTTGCCAATATATGCAGGGCAACTATACATTCTAATACATGCCCTGACTAAACATATATCTATAAAATTAATTAATCTCACAATATTGTTATATAAATGCATAAATAAACAAGTTATTTTTTTTTAGTTTGTTTGTTGTTTGGTTGATTAACGTCTCTTTCGAGAATTTTTCCCTCATATGTAGACGCATCACATGCATATATATATATATATATATATATATATATATATATATATATATATATATATATATATATATATATATATATATATATATATATATATATATATATATATATAATTCTTAAACAGATAGCAATAGAATAAAGTTTTTTTTTTATAAAAAAAAAAAAAAAAAAAGAAGATTTATTGTAATTCACTGTAACTGATTGATTGGTTACACATTGTTTTACGTCCCATTCAAGAATTTTTCACTCGTATAGAGACGTCTCCATGTAAAGGTGAAGGGCTTCAAATTTAGACCCTAAATCGGTTCTCCTATCCTTTGAGCACTGAGGGCCAACGCCTGCCGTGACACAGGGCCTCGGTTTTTAAGGTCTCAATCGAAGGATCCGTAACTTTCACTTCAAAGTGCCGAGCGCTTGGCGAAGGAACAGTTACTACCTATTTTGTATCATCTCAAGTCAGTCGCGGCCGGAATTCGACACAACGACCTTCCGATATCAGAGCAAGCGCTCTACCGACTGAGCTACCGTGACGATTAATTATCTCTATTAATGTTGACACTTTAGATAGATATTATATTTGAAGTTATTTTCTCTGTTCTAGGTGACAGCTTGGCTCCACATAATGGTATGAGATTCAGCACAAAAGACCAAGATAATGATCACTCTAGTAATAGCTGTGCTAGATCACATTACGGAGCCTGGTGGTACAATTCTTGTACCAACTCAAACCTGAACGGGAACTATGCACAGTCTGCAGTGAATAGTTCTAAATCTCCATACTGGTATCGCTGGACAAGAGGATATATAGCACTAAAAAAGACTGCTATGATGATAAGACACAAACACGAAGTATAATCTGAACTATAAGAGGAATTTCTCAAACAAATTGTATTTGCCACTTCATATCATTAATTTATCTCTGTATATAATTTATTTTGTGATGAAATGTCAAAAGAAACATTTTGTGTTGCTATCGATCCGAATTCTGCACTTAAATTCGTAGAAAAGCCAAAGATGAAGTAATACAAAATAGAAGGTCGAGCTAAGAAGAAAATTTTGGAGGTTGCATGGTTGAAATAAAGGCTCATTTAGCACCTGTCCAGTAGCATCCTTTTAAATATATCTTACAAAACTGAATCCGAAAAACACCCGTCTGTGGCAGCGACCACGAGAAACATTCCTAGATAGTGACTACGCATGGGAGACGAAACAACCCTGTGAAAAAAAAAAATTCCCTTTGTTACTTTATGTCTTAACTCAGTAAAAAAAAGTGGCCTCTCCACAAATTACTCAATTAGAGTCACCGGAACCAGCATCTTTTTTTAAAACAACTTTGTTGATTCCTAAATTATATCCGTAACTAGCCACAAGTCTGTGAATTCCCTTGCTGTATATCATCGAGTTTTACATAAATCACTCAAATAGGGTCATCGGAGCCAGCATCCTTTTAAGAAACAACTGATTCCAAAGTTATGTCCATTATTGGCCACAAATCTGTGAATTCCCTTGCTGTATATCATCGAGTTTACAACTGATTCCAAAGTTATGTCCATTATTGGCCACAAATCTGTGAATTCCCTTGCTGTATATCATCCGTAAGTAGCCACAAATCTGTGAATTCCCTTGCTGTATATCATCCGTAAGTAGCCACAAATCTGTGAATTCCCTTGCTGTATATCATCCGTAAGTAGCCACAAATCTGTGAATTCCCTTGCTGTATATCATCGAGTTTACAACTGATTCCAAAGTTATGTCCATTATTGGCCACAAATCTGTGAATTCTCTTGTTGTATATCATCGAGTTTACAACTGATTCCAAAGTTATGTCCATTATTGGCCACAAATCTGTGAATTCTCTTGTTGTATATCATCGAGTTTCAGAACATGAAAACATGCAGATGAGTAAGGCTATTCAAATCACTGTAATTATGTTAAAAAAACTTTTTTGGCTTAAATTTCATAGTGTTCATTATTTTTGTTTAATTAAGGATGTTGGATTAATTTAAACTTGTCTTCAAAATTTTACTTTTCATGAGCAGCGTGTAGATTTATTTTGATGAGTCAATAAATGACATATCTCGAAAGTATAATATATCCTTGATTGGAAGTGGTTAACAAATTTATTTGGTTACATAGGAAATAAATTCGTTATCCAGGTCCAGTCAAGGTTTGATCTCAGGCTTTATAGAATACAAGCCGGGATAAATCCCCGTAATCCCTTGATTGAACTGGATAACTCATAATATTGTAGAAAGATACCTTTAAAAGAGTTAGCAATAGAATATTGGAGATCTAATCTGGACTTTATAATGGTGGTAAATATGTTTTAAAATTCACCAAGTTAATATAAACGTTGTTTTAAGTCATTTTACATTGTCCATACTTATCATTAATCATTCATATTGTTTTAACAAACTGTATTAAATAACATGTAAATTGTGCATGTCGTTTAACACACTACGTATTTCTTTTTAAGTATGGCTCCGTGTAAAAATCATGCAGGGGGTGATACATGGGGGGTTTCAGAATTTTTTCAAACTTTGCATGTTGGTAGGGTATGCTAAGATACTACAAAAAATAAAATGATTTTTTTATCAATTCTGTGTCTGGTTGCCATGGCAACAGTTAAACTGTTTTCGGTAAAATATGGCTGAAATTTCCTCTAAAAATAGGCAAAAATATCAATATTTCATATGAAATTAAAAGAAAATCAGACAATAAATCACATTTTTGTTTATTTCTCATTCAAATACAGCTCAAATAGTAACTTTTCATAATTAATCAAAATATTTCCATGTCCAGTAAAATGTTCTAATTTTAAGCTGAAAAGGGGAGATAATCCATATTGGAAAAAACAGCAAAATATCAATTTTTTGAGGATTTTCAGCTATCAAAAAATTAAAAAACCCTACGGCCAAACCAAAAGGCCATGCTAGTTTCATAGACACCATACCCTATAGAAAATAAAATAATTAAAACATTTTTGTGCAAATGATTATTATTTTCCAAAATGATTGACGAGTTTCATTCAAAAGATGGCAATTTCCCTTTTTTTGTCACAGTCCAATATATGCCATATATGTATGCATGTAAAAGGAAATTGACATTTCAACACAATTTCTTTACATTTCCAAACTCAAATACAACACAATTATTTACTTATCTTAATTAATCTAAATATTTTCATGACCTGTAAGATGTTCCAATTTTAAGCTGAAAAGGGAGATAATCCATATTGACAAAAACAGCAAAATATCAATTTTTTGAGGATTTTCAGCTATCAAAAAATTAAAAAACCCAACAGCCAAACCAAAAGGTCATGCTAATTTCATAGACACCATACCCTATAGCAAATAAAATAATAAAAACATTTTTGCGCAAATGATTATTATTTTCCCAAAACGATTGATGAGTTTCATATAAAAAATGGCAATTTCCCTTTTTTTGTCACAGTACAATAACTATGCCCTATACACATATCATGAATATATACCAGGTATGCATGTAAGAATAAATTGACATTTCAAAAAAATTTTCTCAATTTTCTAATTTGAAATACAACACAATTTTACTTTTCATTTAATCAAAATATTTTCATGACCAGTAAAATGTTCTAATTTTAAGCTGAAAAGGGAGATAATCCATATTTACAAAAACAGTATCATATCCCATTTTTGAGGGTTTTTTTCAGCCTATAAGTTTTTTTTAAAGTCCAACAGCCAATGCAAATCAAAAGGTCACGCTTGTTTCGCACACACCATACCCTATGGGTATGATACATCGGGTATTATACAAAAATTGAAATTGCATTTATTTATTTATTTTAGGGGGGGGGGGTGTTAATATATTGATCCAACAACCATCGAGGGACAATATTTACTTCCTTCTTTAGGATCGGTGAATGCATACATTTAGGCAAGCCAAACCATTGTAATGACCTCAAAAACAGAAATAATTGTATAATATACAACTTGACTTTTATTTTAATGATAATATGAAAATCATTTTATGTTTCCCTCTTGGTTACACCTTTCAATATACACCACAAGAATTTTGGTCGAATTTTAACTGCATGCAATTACATGTATTAATTAAATGAATGATGTTTTTTACACATCATTACCAAGTCATCTGCTTCTTTTCCATTCAATTTTACCAGTTTATCCCACATCAAAATTATTAATTACTGGTACATGTATCAAAATCATTAATTGATAGATGTAAACAAAATTTTAATAGTTTACATCTTTTAAGATGAAATAATGCTGAACAAAATATCAGTAATCTCCGATGCTTCTCTTTTGTAGTAACTGACTGTCCTTTGTTTATTTATGAGTCTCTTCTAGTGAAATATAAAACTGTAACCTAAAGGTGCTGAAGATCCATGAGAGATGAAGGTCCATGCCTGATTATCTTTATCCAAGTACCAGCATTCTTTGAACTCTAATCTTTGTTATTCCTAAAATAATAGTTACATATAATTATCATTTACCAAATTAAAACTCATTGTTCTACATTGATTTAAAGGTATTAAAGGGTTTTTTTAAATTTATAAATTACATGGAATCTCAAGTTTATGTAATGCAGTAATTTCATGTAAAATCTCAAATGGTTGCATGTGCATGGCATGTGGTCCCCCACCTTTGGAGTCTTATTAGTTGGTGGTGTGCAATGATGTTTTTCTTGCTGTCTCAAAAATACTGTCAGCTTTTCCTTCATAACCATGATGCAAACCATCTTGCGCATTCTGTGAAAATGATATAGGGTTTCATTTCAAAAGTATATAATTCAAATTACTACCGGTAACTTATGAAATATGTAAAATATCTTTACCATATTTTCTATCATTTATGTCTCAGGTTTTAACCATATTACAATTTAAACTGTAACCAGTTATGAATTCTATAATCTTGCTACTGATTAAATTAAAACTACAAAATGAAATACCCGGTACTCTCACAGTACCTGTTATAAAACACTTTTGGGTCTTCCCTTTTCATTCTATCTCTTCAGTCAAACAAGTTCTTGATCATTCTGAAAAACAACAAGGAATATTTTTCATCTAGATTTATATGCAATATGACATACAGAGAGAGAGAGAGATTAGGTATAAAGACAACTAAATATACCTATTTAACAACCCTAAATTAAATTTACCTGGTGATTCCAAAGCACAGTACACTGTTTTCCAAATACACTAGCCTGATTAAAAATGTTGGGCCAGTAAAAATGTAAGTCAGCAATAACTTGACAAGACTAATAGAATTTTCAGTGATATATCTTTTACAAATTATACCATCAGTAATGTTAAAAAATGTGCATAAACAGCCTTGTCTGAAAAATTATATATTTATTAAATAAATCAAGCTTTTTGGTGGTTTTTATATCTTGGTTGATTTTTTTTTCTGTCCATACTTGATTTTGTTATTTAGTTATCATTTCTGACTAGTGCCATGTTGACATGGGTAGAGCAAACAAGAGGCCCATTGGCCACAATGCTCACCTGAGTCAATATCTTCATCAGCAGATTTTTCTAATATATATTCATATGTAAAACTTTGATCCCCATTGCGGTCCTACCCTATCCCAGGGGTTCATGATTTCAACAGATTTGAATCTACACTACTTGAGGATTCTTCAATATATACATGTATCTGTACGACTAATCATGGCTTTGCTGTTCTTAAAAAGAAGAATTATCACTATCTAGTGTGAAACTTTGATCCCCCATTGTGGCCCTATACTACCAGTATGTCTAGTTCTTGAGAAGAAGATTTCTAAAGATTGTTACCTAGTATCTACATTTTTAAAGCCCCATGCTACCGCTACTTTTCACAAAAGTTTCAACCCTTTTG